GTTGCAGTTCTGACTGGCATTATCTCCCCCACACCGATGTCTTTAACGCGCTGAGAGTTGTCGAACTGGTCACCAAAGAAAGGTGAACATACCATTGGCACGACGTGGTAAACAGATTCTGCAATTCCATTGATTCCCGCATGTGTGTAAAATAGCTTGGTCTTTGGATGACCAAGAATATCGTTTTGTGGAAGCCAGGTAACTATTTTGATGTTTGAAGCAGTTGAACCTTTATAGGCATCTGTTAAAATGTTTGCAATTATATTTCATGTCATGGGCGTATCGTATTAAAGCATTACTCAAAACCCCGCAAGCTATAAATTAAAATTGAGAGAAAGGGAAGAAACAGAAGACTGATAGAAAGAAGATGGGTAAATAGAAACTGCCATATGAACACAATTAATGGAAATACTGAACCGTAGAACTGACGTTTTTAAAAAACGGATTGCATTTGACAATGGAAAGTTTCAATTCACTCGTCATTTTCCATATATAAAAAACCTAAAATTCTAAAACACGCATTGAATTCCAGGTGACTATGACCCGTTTAGTTACAGATCATGCGTTGAAACAATCAGAAGGCATAATATTCGCTTACCAAGTTTKATTTTCCAAAGAATTTTCTGCGGCAACTGAGAAAAAGCATTATTCATGGCGTCGATGACATTCTCYCGAAGAGTGTTTACCATGGAACCAAAAGAMACAAGAATGACGCCATCATCTCCAGAACTCTGCATAAAGTTTTCAAGCTCGRCAGGAAGAGGTTTGGCTGGTCTTGGCATTAAGAACCCAACTTCGCGGACATCTAGCACAAAGAAGTTGGATACCAATTGTCATGCTTAAAGCTATTTCTTATTTCAAGAATGCGCATTGAACATCTATACTCAGGTGATTAAAGGCTTGGCTTTGGCATGAAAGCGAGGCTAATTTTATTATGATTTTATTTCTTCGCGGATATTTCACAAAATGAAATGCCAATCAAAAGCCAAATTTATCGCACCCTAAGATAGTGTTTCCATCCATTGATAGCAAGAAATTCTAAAATTCTAGCAAATGTGCAAAAACGACTTCATCAGTAGAACTTATCAGCTTATCATTAATCTAATAATTATCTAWAATTGTTACCGTACTCACTGAACATTTGTTTAAGACTAGTCCGTATAATGAAAAAATAGATA